GTCCGCAATTGCCAAAAATATCGAAAAACTTCCAGATCTTTAGCGGCTAATAAAACGAAGTGCTTTGTGGAGTATATATTGGTGTTTCTAGCTTCTGCACATCTAACTTGCGGCAACCTTAGCAATTCATCAAAAACGCCATAAATTCATGATTAAACGGGGACACCAAATTACGCAAGAACCTAAACAAGTTTTGGGAGCCCTGAAACTACTATACTCTTGTTCAACCAATCCCTAAAATGGGAGGGGAAAGATGGGATGTTAAAACGTGTTGCAAATTTCTGCGGTACCTGATTACTTCACTGTATAAAAAGTGTGTAACGTTACTCTTTATCAAGTGAAATCTTAATCCATATTTGGTGTAACTGGTGCTTTACACTAAGAATGAATGGCTTTAGACGATTTGAAGTGCAAATTTACTCCAATGGAGTGTAAACCCTTAGTTACACTTATTTTGTGTAAAATATACACGATAAATTTTGTAAGTTTACACTTACAAAAGTGAATCAGCTGTTCGCCCTTGGTCGGTGTTAAATATACTGAAAATAAGTGTAATAAAACATAATTTTGGGTGTAATTTATTTCTCGAGAAGGGGTGAGTAACTAGAAACAAAAAAAGCAGTAAATAGTGTAGGATGTCACTGAACGTGGTGTATTCTTGTACACTTTTTGTAGTGAAACATTACGCTTATAATTTTAGCACGATAGAACGTGTAACATTTATATATTGATAACTAAATTTATTGTGCTAATTTACGCCAATCGTAGTGTATTCACATTCCGCTTGCTAGAGTGTAATATTACACTGAGATCGGTGAATATTTATCCTTCTATTCGTGTCTGTTTTTAACACTATTTCGAGTGTACCATATACCAAACGAAAGTGTTTAAGATTCATATTTATATTTACAGGGTTAATTTACACCAATGGTAGTGTATTCATATTATTATCTCCCTTTACTTAAATAGCTGAATTTGAATATATAGCATGCAATTATAATTAATATGCATATCCTGCAACGTACTTGACATAACTAGATTAAACTTCTGTATGTTAACTTTATCATAAATTACATTGTGTCAATCTGTTAAATAATGTTGCATTTATATCGTTGACAATCTCCGATTCATTGCCATCTTGTCGAGACGGCCAGGCGAACGTGTTACCCAGCACTAGTACCCTGGGTCACTTGTTCCCACTGGGATATCAGTTTCCAAGGTCGTAGCGAAGCTTTAGTATTTACACCAATAGTTCTTGATAAATGCTCCTAGAACCCACCACAGATACTTTTGGGGTGATTTTACCCGTAACTGAGAGTTTAGCAGTAATTCTAGTGGTGTGTGGGTACCCTTAAGGACGTAAAAGTTTACACCGAACTGAGGGCTTAGCAGTCGCTCCAGTAGTGTAAGGTTATCCTTCATATTTTACATGTTTACACTGAACCAAGACTGTAACAGTCGCTCCCGTGGTGTAAGGTTACCCTTAATCTTGTACATGTTTACACCGTGCTGCGAGTTTAGTAGTCGTTATAGTAGTATAAGGTTACCCTATATGTTGTACATGTTTACATCGAGCTGAGAGCTTAGTAATCGTTATAGTGCAAAGTTACACCTAATGCTATATATTGTTGCACTGAAGATGCACCCTAAAAGGTGTACATAACTACCACTCCAGTGTAGTTATGTTGGTGTAAACTTACACCAAGCTCTCAGTTACACTTCAGTTACACATTTTGTGGAGGCAGCAGGAGTTCACACTAAATTGGTGTAATCTCTGTAATTATTTTTTACAGTGTTTAATCATCAGTAGAAATACGTTATATAAAATAATAATTCGTATATTATTTTACAGCTACAATAACCAAAGAAAAGTATGTTTCCGATTAATTAAAAAAGCATTTAAATTGTCATTTCATGCAGAAAGATATGGTGTTAAATAGTGTATGCTTTAAATTATTCTATAAATTAACAATTGGTATATTGATCGAGTATTTTGCAGCGACAAGCACCTTTCCGTTTAATAGAAAATGCCAATAAACAATTTATTGTTAATTTGTCGGGTAAGTGCTACAGGTGGTAGATAATATGTTGTTTAAATGCATATTTTCATAAACTTATTATGCAGATAGATGTTAATATGGAAGGTCCACATGGATATAAAATAATATTTTGTGTGAAATAGCGTCCTGAATACAATACAACATAGGCGGCTTATGAAATTTTACAATCTAGTAGTTTATTCATCCCTTGATTCTGAGAAATAAAAAACATTTTGCCATCAAAGCTGGTTTGAATACTGTTTGATGCAAAGTGAACGTACCCTTTACTGCGGGCCCAGTTTGCGATATTTTAGTTTGTTTACGGTAATAACATGTCTTACAATGCTTCTATTATAATGGTAACAATTATTATCGTGATACTTATAAATAATAAATATATATAGGTTTTATTGACGCTAGGTATATGTTTGCTAATTTCATTTTGAATTCGTGTGGGAGATTCCGCTCGATGTATTTCTTCACAGTCAGAAGATACTACATCTTGTGGAAACTATGTATTGTGACATCACATCTTGCGGTAACTATGCTTGACATCATGAATTAGTATGCACAGATAGTTCTTTATATAAAAAGACAGAACTTCTTTTTTGAGTGTTATTAAAGTATTCTTACTGTTGTAGCATTGTAAATGTGCTAATTTTCTTAAATTTTTTAAAAACTTTTCCACGTTTTCGCTTTAAAATGTGGTATGTGTTTTCTTGAAAATTAATAAAAAAAAATTACCAAAAATATGTTCTTCAAATCCGTTCAAATAAACAGCTTCATTCTGGCCTTTATTTCATAGCAATTGACGGAAAACTAGAGCGGGTAGGATAAAACTGATATAATGTCGGCGGCCATATTTGATGACGTCATTGTGGAATAACCTACCAAATGGTGAGTGTCCACCCAAGTTCAAAATACTTACTTCGGCACCCACTAAACATTTCTACAAAAAAATTCTCCCTACTCAAACTTTCCTACAGAACCATAGCCAGGTGCTGGATTAGATACCCTGACGTTGACGATAGCATCAAACGGAACGAGAACGGGTCAGGGCTCCACGGCACTAAGGCCTTGGTAGGTGACTTATAGTTTTAAATTTACCAATTTTTCCAAAAAAGGTAACCTGACAGAATCCTTTCTAATCTTACCAATGGAACTAGATACCCACATTCAGCAAAGTTACCTGTTTTCTTCTGCTTTACGATCAAGTAACAGTGTATTTTTTAATTACTTTATACCAACAAATGTTTTTTTAAAACATTACCATTGCGCGGTGTCCCAGTTGCCCCCCCCCCCCGTCTTACGGGCCCTGCTGTATTTCCATCGCACGGCTTAACCTGGTGTTTGACTACCGGAGTAGTACCATTAGCCATGCTCATCAGGAAAAATACATCCCAACAGACTTTCAGCTAAAACGTAAAAAATCGGGTAGACCAGTTTTCATCTTTTTGAACTCTGTGGTATTGACTTCCTGTCTGTCCACATGAACGGGACCCCAAAACGTAACTTTTTAAGTGTAGCTTTTAGGAACACTACCGGGGGCGCTTTTCGCATTACAGCCCAAATTGTTTTTTTGTAACACATCTCGAGTACACCTATGTCAAAATATGAATCCTTATGATGATTTTGGGGATTAACCTACTTCTGAGTGGCCCAAATGTGAAAATTGGCCAGCTCCACCCATTCAACCTTTAATGCACTTCTCCAGTAAAAGAACCCTTTGCAGTTGGAATACGATATAAGAGTGCTTTTGCGCCACTGCAGGGCAAAATTCCCATCATAGCATACTGATGAAGCCCAGTTGGAGCAGAACCGTAGGACGTATGTATCACCCCATTTCATTTCATTTCTTTTTATTGACGTAGGCTATTTTTATCAACAATTGAAATGAATCTGTGTTCCTACGGCTACCGTAATAGTATCACCTAACGACAATGCAGCAATATTTATATACTTTTAGCTTCCTTCTACGTTATTGTAACACATTGTTCTTGTTTATCAACCCATAAATGGGCAAATCCTCTTCTCTGAATCAGCATTCGTTTCTACTGCTAACATGCATAAATGGATTAATTTTGGAAGAAATGCGACGTCTGATATGCCGTTGTGACGTCACAGTAACGTCATGACGTCGTAGAGACATAACGTCGCCTTTTTTAATTCGATGGTACCGACTTCCTATCTGTCCGCAATACATTTATGGTATCTAAATCCAATAGTTTTAGAGATATTTGCAATTTTTGATCAACAGCCGCCATCTTGGATTTCGCCACGCCCCCTGTCCTTATTTGGACTCCGATTTTGGTAAACTTTCTTTTCCTTAATTAGGACATTATAATGGGTCAATAGAAAACAAAAAACCTTTTGTTGCAATTTGTTCTACGTACGACATCATTTAGCCGTCGTTTGACCCGCCTTGATTGGTACTACAAATATTGCTGGTATATATGATTATAACGGTAATTCGAATGGTACTGGTAATGTTAATGTGATAGCAAGGACAGTACTAAAGGTAATGAACTGGTGATGGTACTGCTAATGGTACTGGTACTGATAACGGTAATGGTAATAGGAACGATAATGGCAGAACTAAAGGTACTGCTAATGGTACTGGTACTGATAATGAAAATGATACCGATAATGGTACTGCTAATGGATAATGAAACTGGTACTGGTACTGCTAATAGTAATTGTTCTGGTAAAGGTACTGATAATAATAACGGTATTGGAAAGGATAATGGCGCTACTAATGTTACTGATACTGGTACTGATAATGGTAATGGAACGGATAATGTTACTACAAATGGTACTGGTAGTGGTACTGGTAATGGTACTGATACTGGTACTGATAATGGTACTGGAAAGGATAATGTTACTACAAATGGTTCTGGTACTGCCAATGGTATTGATAATGATACCGCTACAGGATAGTGGTAGGGATACTGGTAGTGCTATTAGCACTGACAATGGTACTCATAATGGTCTAGTCTTTCGGATGATACGATAATCCGAGGTATCGTGTACACATTGGCGTACATGTAAAAGATCTCTTGATAGTTGGAATTCGATATAAGAGTAGGCCGCAGTGCCGCTGTCCGGGCACAATTTCCCTCATAGCACACTATATGGCGCATGCCCGTCTTCATTAGCCCAGTTCGAAGCAGAACAGTAGAAGGTTAAACCCCATTTCATTTCATTTCTAGAGTGTCTGGGTAACATTTCAAACAGACATATTTTTATAACAAGAACAACCAGCCCATTATCTGAATATATTTGTTATACCTTACATAGTTAGGGAGGTTGGATGGCCGAATGATTAGCACGCGCGCGCTGTATCATACGGTCTGTCATTAAGTCAACTGGCGGGGTTTCGACTCCCCGGTTGTACGTGACAAGGAGTAGGGTCGCCTGTCCAACCTCGTGGGTTTTCTCCGGGTCCTCCGGTTTCCTCCCACTGCTAAAGACCCCTACGCGCAAGCGAATGATTGAAACAAAATTGAACCATGTGTTAGTCCCGAAATGACCTAGCTTGTGTCGAGTGGACTTTAAACCCCATTTCTCTCTCTCTAATGTAGGCTACATGTACATGTAAATTTGGACAAAAAAACAAAAAGGAAATGGGGTTGAACATCCTACTTTTCTGTACCAACCTGGCTAATTAAAATGGTCATCCACGGTCGCCATGCAATGTTCTATCGGATAAATTGTGCTCCGACAGAACAATACATTATTTATTGATTAGTTTTACAATGAAAAACTGTGATTTTAAAGATTATTTTAAGAAACTCGTAACTTGACTAAATTATCGAGGAAATTATAAGTTTCTCAGCATGTCAATTAATTTACAGTCATATACATGTACATGTACATGTATGTAATTGTGATTTGCAAGCAAGAAAGGTGTTAACTAGATTGGACGTTAAACCCCAGTTCATTTCATTTTATTTTAGTTGCTGGGATAGTTAGATTTTGCTTATTTTCTCTCCCTTACACGGTTATTGGATATTTAAATTAGACAAATAATAAAGAAGTTTGGGGCTAAAATATGGCTGATTAAAATTGTTGCCGTTACTGACAGGTTTATAATCGTCATGAATGTAAAGGAAATGAAATGAAATGAAACGGGGTTTATCGTCCTACCGTCTGCTCCGACTGGGCTAATGGAGACGGGTGAAAGTAAACGCAATCTTATCTAACCATATACACCGCATCCGTCACCCGTTCGTAGATGAGTATACAGTCGTACAGTTTGTTAACTAAACAAACATCCTTGTTAATAAATGTCAACTCACTAAAATGATCAGTGATATCGGATGTTCCAGTAACTCAGCACACCTTACCTCGTGTACTACAGTCATCACTAATTATAGTTATGCTTAGTACAGCTAAGGTTTGGACCTTGACTGCAGAAACCGAAGCTTGTCAGGTTTGCCCTACTCAACAAAATAACATTTACTCCAAAACCTTATCACAAAGGGCTGAGATTGATGATCGAATGGTTTAACGATTGTCCACTGGGTATAAGGTCTTTCAGTGAGTCAAGTGGCGTGGTTTCGATTTCCCGTTTGTACGTGACAAGGTGTAGAGCCGTCTGTCCAATCTTATTGGTTTTCTCCGGGTCCTCGGCTTTCCTTTCACTGCTAAAGATCCCTACGCGCAAGTGAGTTAATGAAATAAAACTTAAACAGGTGTTAGTCTCAAAATGAAACAATTGTGTCGAGTGGACGCTAAACCCCATTTCACAAAGCATTAGAGAGCTGCACAGTACTCCTGTTAAAGAGTCTTTCTCACAGAATCAACCAGTTTTGATAAATTTGGTATCGGTGAAATTCACATAAACTAAAATTATTAAATTAATTTTAAATTCTACTCTGATTTACAGTTAGTTAGATTACATAATAATTATCATATTACTTGAAAATAAAAGTTAATCATGCAAATATCAAATCATGCTTATTTACAATAAAAGTGTTTTAACGTTAAACGGACCGAGGTTTTATAGTTATTGGTGTTTTATATATTGGAATCTAGATAATAAAGCATAAAAATTAATAGGTTAGAATTGTAATATTAATGATATATTGAATACATTAACAGCTATTTTATTGAAAATATATTAAATTTGTCGAAATTATTAAAAAATATTAAACAGTTTTATTGTGTTTTGAACAAAGGTTCAGATTTGATGATGCAATGAAACTTGCCTATATAAACTGTTTGTGAATTTGAATAATTCAGAATCCTGAGAGAAGTTTGAATAGAAAACAAGTCTATCAACAGATTGATCAATATGGAAAGTGTAAGTATCATTAGTTGTAATTCATTATTTTGATGGGTTTGATTGTTGACTGCTTTAGATTATTGTAGGTGTTGATGGTGTTACATTGCTGTGATTGTTGACTGCTTTAGATTATTGTAGGTGTGATTGTTTTAGATTGTTGTAGATGTTGTTTTTGATTGAGTTAGATTGTTGTTGTCTATATATTGAAAGAACTAAATTTGTCTAATGCAGTTCTTTTGTTTGTCCTCAAATCTTACATAAATCAGTAATTAAACACTTTATCACTCTCTAGGACATCGGATAGTTTTGATATTTTACGTTTTTATACACGATTGCCAGTTAATAATGTAGTTAAAAATAAATAATCGCAACTTTGTTTATTATCGTAACAGCAGTTGTAATGACAATCTAAAATGTTCTTCAGACGGTCATAACTCCCCTCCGAATGAAGTAACGTGACCGACATTTTCAACAAATTCCCTTTTCATTATCTATATAATAATTATTATAGGGATCAGTGCCAGCTCTTGGGGGGGGGGCGGCGAATGGTTAGCACGTGCGCGCTGCGCGCTGTATCATAAGGCCTGTCATTGAATCAGCTGGCGTGGTTTCGAATCCCCGGTTGTACGTGACAAGGAGTAGGGTGGCCTGTCCAACCTCGTGGGTTTTCTCCGGGTCCTCCGGTTTCCTCCCACTGCTAAAGACCCCTAAGCGCAAGCGAATTATTGAAATAAAATTGAATCATGTGTTAGTCCCGAAATGACCTAGTTTGTGTCGAGTGGGCGTTAAAACCCATCTCTCTCTCTCTCTCTCTCTCTCTCTCTGCCAGATCTTTATCTAAATCTTACATAATGAATCTTTATAACTTTTCTCGATGACATATATATATGTAATAAGTTTTAGCAATCGTATTCAGCTAATTGATATTCGCGAAGATCATGTTTACTCAAATCAAATTATTTTTCACAAGATACCGTTTATACGACATTTGTAGTAATCTTACTTCTGTATCATCTCATGTGAAATATAAAACTATTACACAACTTGATATATTACCTTTCGATTGACTGGTTGATGAGATTGACTGTGTAGAAATATTTGTTTAGTACGAACTCGCTTCTCACCCCCTTTCATGGTTTCTAAATGATTATCTCGGATTGTATATGAGTGTGTGTGTGTGTGTGGGGGGGGGGGCGAATGATTAGTACGTGCGCGCTGTATCATAAAGTCTGTCATTGAGTCAACTGGCGTGGTATCGATTCCCCGGTTGTACGTGACAAGGAGTAGGGTCGCCTGTCCAACCTCGTGGGTTTTCTCCGGGTCCTCCGGTTTCCTCCCACTGCTAAAGACCCCTAAGCGCAAGCGAATTATTGAAATAAAATTAAAACCATGTTATTCCCGAAATGACCTAGTTTGTGTTGAGTTGAGTGGACGTTGTTAGCACATGTGTGCTTTGTATTTGTAGATAACTATATTGTTATTAGATAACACGTGTGTATTTTGTATCTGTAGGTAAAGATGTTGTTGTTAGATAACACTGTGTATTTTGTATCTGTTGGTAAAGATATTGTTGTTAGATAACACGTGTGTATTTTGTATTTGTAGGTAAAGATATTGTTTGTGCTGTGTTTAATATTAGAATGCTGCAACTGCTGGGTAAATAAGTTTGACGAGCCAGTATGGTATGAATGTCCAGTCGGGGAACAGCTTTTTTCAATATCCAGTGAACATGTTAACGCTTACGAGGACAGACAATGGGACTTCTCGTGCGCCAATTTGGCCCCATTGGGCTTATGTTCTTGGCATAGTAAGTCCTCTTCTTCAATTCCACAGCCTTCTATTTTAGATAAATCAAGGGGAGCCATGGTGGCTAAGTGGTAAAGGCGCTGACTCGCTAGCTTGGAGGTCGTGTGATCGATTCCTGCAGTGGCTGAGCAAGTTCTTCCGGATTTTCCGACGTGGTTTCCCCTTGTCAGTGGTGCCTGACAAGGACAGCTGTCTAGTTGTGTCGAGTGGACGTTAAACCCTATTTCTCTCTCTCTCTCCCTCCCCTCTCTCACTCTCTCTCTCTCTCTCTCTCTCTCTGTCTCTCTATTGTTATCAGACTGTACACTAATAATACAAGCCATTGATCCCGTGTCTGTAGTCACAGTTACCTCCCTTGTTGGCATGGGCAATTTTATAAAGAATTGACATCTAACACCATCGTGTTGATGTTTGCAGTTATATCTGAGAACCTTGATTATCAAACGTTAAGTATTTCTACACTGAAATCAGATAGACATGATAATCGAAAATTACATTTTCTAAAGTTATATAATATTGTTATTTCAGATAATATTAATGAGTATGACGAAGTAATGGATTTTAAATGTCCAGACGCGGGTGCAATAACCGGTATCAAAAGTGCCCATGACGACCAGAGAGAGGATAGGATTTACCACATCGAATGCTGTGCAATGTCCGCAAGTACGTATTTCCATCAGTAGATAATAGGATTATCTAACTCAGTAAGACGAAATTACTGAACACAACTGCATCAACATTTGTTTATATGCTTTAGATCAGTGACAGCTAACAGTTTTGTATTTATCTAGATATTATTTTCGAAAATCGAATAATAATTAATAGTGGGTCGTGAGGATAATTTTACCAAAAACAATCCTTGATGTGTTCGACAATTGTTGAATAAACCACATAATGATGACATATTGTATTGGTACTTTAACCGTTTATACTATTTGTATTTCAGCTCCTAATGTATGCAAATTGACAGATTATGTAAACGAATTTGATGGCCTCCTTGAATATAGAATTCCAGCTAATAAATACATAAATGGGATATACAGTGTGCACCAAAATCAACAAGAGTAAGTACTACTACCACTAGTAAGCTGATACCATTGATTAAATCATATAAATGTTCAGTATTTTAAACTAATGTTTAGTATGTATAGAAAGTGGTTAGAAATTATACAATTGTCATTAATTAGCAGGTGTTAACAAGATGTAAAATATGTCACTACTGATGTAAAAGCGTGACTGTTTATAACACCCATCACTATTGAATACACAAACCTGGACAATAGTGGTGTTTATCAGTCAATAGTCACCGTTTTTACATCTTAGTGACAAAACACTGAACCACTACTGCCTGATTACTAACACTATGTATAAACATACATATTTATTAAGAAATAGTAAATATGGGATACAACAAAAATTATAAATTCTTACAAACAACCCGCAAATTTACGACGAATACTTACTTCGTCAAAATTTGATTCTGAAGTCACAGAAACGAGTGTCACAAAGTGTGGGGACAATAGAAGTAAAACTTGTGACAACATTATTGAAGGGAAAACAGTAAAAATTAACGGAAATGTACATTTTAAAGTTAAACAATCTATGACATGTAAAAGTAAAAATGTTATATATTTGATAATATGTCCAGGTTGTAATAAAGAGTATATAGGCAAAACCGAATCACAACTGAACATAAGGATGAACCTACACAGATCCCACATTGCTAATCCCAAAAATAGAATGATTTCACTAAGTGAACACTTGGATACATGTGGTAAGGGAAAATTTAGGGTATTCCCCTGATATAAACTCAACTGGTCGGATAATAATTTGCTAGAAAATAAAGAACGGCATTTTATTAACAAGTATCACCCTAAATTAAATGCTGCATAATTTTATATTGGAATTTGATATTGTAAAATATTTATATTTGGTATTATTATTGTCATGTACATATATGTATTAATAACGCCATGACGTCATGTAATTGTATACTATCTCATTATTAAATGCCTGATGATCCCCGTAGTGGGTGAAAGCGCTAGCTAAGATGAAATTAGTTTTTCCTTTCTAAAAAACCTCATTTTTTTATATATATATATATATATATATATATATATATATGGTACTGATACTATGTTCATACCTTATATATGGTACTGATACAATGTTTATTTATCTTATATTATATGGTATTGGGATTATGTACTGAGAATACTAGGTGGACCATGCCCTTTAATACCAAGTGGACCACCTTCTTTAAATACCATTGATAATGATCGTGTTTTCTCTTTGTTTTCAGAGATCGACGTTTTAAATTCAACGAATGCGATCTCCCGAAATGATGATTTACACGTGCAGTCCCTCTTTAAGAGATTGATAAATAAAGATGCATTTTAGATTTGTTGTTGTTTTATTTGTTATCGTGTTTCAGTACAGAGGTAGTAGGGGAATAGTATAATGTTATACAAAAGTCGTATGTGAATATAAAGGTAGTATGGGAATATAAAGGTAGTATGTGATATAAAGGTAGTATTGGAATATAAAGGTAGTATGGGAATATAAAGGTAGTATGGGAATCGAATAAATTGATACATGGTGTTCAGGAAAGATCCAGCATACACAGCCCTCTTGATGACTCCCATTAAAGTACTAATAAAGAATGACAGCATACATGATCCAGAAACTTTAAAGAGTATTAAGCATTGTCTCAATTATCTGTTAGCTTTGTGAAGTGTTATAATAGAAATAAGTTGATACATGGTGTTCTGGAAATACACTGCCCCGTGGACGACACCCGGTACTAATAAATATGGACTAGAGACATATATAAAGATGGCATAGACAACGATTGTCTTCATTGTTATATATTTGTCTTGTTCTAATGTTGATCTTTTGAACTTAAATATTGGTTAACAAAATGGCGACCAGGCTAGCAGTTGGACAGACTCTATCTATATATAGATCTGGTATAGACTTCAATTTAAGATAGCAAAGCCACTCGGTAGACAGCAAACTTGGGACTTAGTGCGAACAATGTCTAAATATGGTCTATATCGTCCGGGTGATTCGCAATTCCTTCTACGACATGGATTTGAAAACGCGAGTTCATTTTGTGAAGAAGATCGCACTGTATAACTTGTCGGGGATTCGTATAGGCATTCGTTAGCTCCATAAAAATGTCGAACTATATGTAAAACCGGATATTATGCATAAAATAAAACCAAGTACGAACAATCCAAACCATTAGACAAAAATTCGAAGTCCTAAACAAACGGTATAGGCAAAATAGTGAAATCAGCAAATGGATTGTTCACCGTGTACAAAATACACGACAAACAACTATATCAAATATCCATAAAATTAATACATTTCCCGTCGATTATGGTAATAGTTTGACTCCCAAAAGCAGCAAATAAGAGAAATTAACCCGTGATAAACCAAGCCTTCTTGTCGACAAAAACATTTGAAGCATTAAACCCATACAGTGAACAAGACACACAAACTACATGAACATTGCAAGCACTCGGCAACAAACGTACACCATTCGGTCACAGAACATAACATGATGATCGTTTCAGTGATTCCAAAAACAAATTCACGGCAATCAAGATAATTCAGATGTTGGATTTTTTAATTGATAACATCTTTGTTGAATTTGGAGGGGAAATATATCAGCAAGTGGTTGGCATCCCCATGGGCACCAACTGTGCACCTCGACTATTGATTCGGGCAAAGTATTGGACTAGTGGGGTAATCGATTGACCATTTTGGAGTTGATTTTGATTAAGCGCTCGCACGAAATGCGGGCGACAAAGAATGCATCAGCAGAATATATAACTCTATAGAGATCAGTCACCATAGCTAAACAGTTTAAAACGTAGCCAAACTGCTTATACCGCATTTGTTTTTAGAACTCACAAAGGTGTGCAAATTCCTAAATTTTATCATTTCGAAAGCTATGGGTTGCAAATCGAGCAAGGCCCCATGTTTTAGTCATGATTACCTACTTTACCTTGTGTCCACTGTTATTTCAGTTTGATTTATATTTACAGATTATACCATGCCTGTATCAATGGCTTGGGAAATAGTTGATACTATACCCGCTTCACCGTTACCTGTACCAGGTATATATCTTTACATACTAGTTATTAAACTTATAGCACGATTTCAAAATCAGAGAGGCACTTTAATAAAATTATTCTAGAAAACGACTTACTAAATGGATCAAAGCAATTTTTTGTGAACAGTATGTTGACACATTAGTAATTAATTCATCACAATTCCAAGACATTACGAGAAGGTTTAAAGTCTGTACGCAGTCTATACATCAGTATCTGGTGTGTCCACGGCGAATGTCGATTGATGAACGCCATTGGCACCTGGAACCACACTCGCAGAAAAGCCTGGCGCAATCAATCAGCTGTGTTTGATCTCGGTACGACGTTATTAAGTCACCTCTGAATTTCACCCCAAAGATGTTCAATCGGGTTTAAGCCCGGACTAAGGGCTGTCCAGTGAATAACGTTGACACCGTTCTGCTGTAGAAAGTCCCGAGTAACTCTAGCGGTGTGTACACGGGCTTTGTCATACTGGAAAACGTTGTTTCGATGACGTGCGATGTGGCATGACGTGGGGGTCTGAGAACTTGATCGATGTAGCGCACTGCTGTGATGCCGCCTCCTCTTTCTGGTTCAGACCGATTCCACCCCAAACCATTATGAGGTCCATGACACATTTTCCAGAATAACGCTGCCTCGTCGACGTCATATTCTGGTCCTGCCATCTGCAGTTGATATGCAATACCGACTCTTTTGTGAACAGAACAGTTAGTTCTCCATTGCCTGTGTCGCTAGTTCTGGTGTTGTTGGGCAAACTATAGACGATCAAGGCGATGGCGAGGGATGAGGATCAGTCCACGGTAAGGTCTACGGCAATGGATGTTCTCTCTGGTGAGTCGTCGGCGCACTGTATCGGTACTGATGGGTCTCCCTTGGGTTCCAACTGTCTGGAGTGCTGTCTCAGATGTCTGTATGAAGGGATTCTGCATGTGCTGTCGCACAACATACCGGTATTGTAACTCTTGGTCTACCAGTTCGGGGGCGATCATCCGTGTTGTTGGTGGTCCGAAAGCGTTGCTGAAGCCTGTAGATGGTCCGAACATTGACCTGGAAATGATTGGCAACGACTTGGGCAGTGTGGCCAGCGCCGAGTCTTCCAAGCACCTGGTTTCTCTGAGCTGTCGTGAGTCGTGGCATGCTGCTGACGTTGTAGTGTGAATGATTCAACCAGGTAGGGGGTGCATTTTATACGGCTGCTCCCGGCGAACAACACGTGCAGTAGGAGTTACATGGAACATGATATCACGGAGAACACAAGTTTTATGCAATGCGTCTATACAGAGTAACACTCCAACATGACGTTTCTTTTGCTGCTTAGTATACTTGTTATTCAACTTCTATCTATATACTAGTTATTATTAACTTATCAGATTATCAGATTAAGTCCATAAACAACTCTTTAGACCATCAGGTGGCTGAGATATTAAGTGGATTAGACGTTGTCTATCATAACAACTCTTTAGACCATCAGGTGGCTGAGATATTAAGTGGATTAGACATTGTCTATCATATCTTCGCTAAACGTTAAAATGGAAATCGATACGTCATTTATTATAGTATAAATTGTATTTGACAATCAAGACTATTGGTGATATTTCTTGTTAAAAATTCAAACAGAATAAAGAACCCTCAAAATAAAGTAATTTAACGAATTTATTATACATTCATTTTTCGTTATCTATTGTTGAACTTTTATATTCAGAGAGATCTGTTGTTTATCTATTTAAGCCACACATCATACATATATATTACTTTCAGACATAAATGGATTACCATATTGCTCACGGTATGCCGTAACAGCCCCAGTACCAGAATCTGTATCTATTAATGATCTAGCCTATACCCTAGACTGTGCTGACCCGGATGGGGACACACTTACGTATAAAATAATTCGCGGAGATCCGTTTAAAAAGTTTAAAATGGAGGGAGAATTAATGAAATTAAATAAAGAACTGAATGCAGATACCAGAGATAGCTTTCATGTGAGTTACAGTTTAGTTTTAGCGTTTTTTTGAAATTCTATCAGGATTATCGCCCTTATTATTGTTGATTATTTTTGACGTTCTAACTGATGACGTCAACCGGTAGACTATCGCCATCATGAAACGTCATCCGGGATCGCATTATTGCTTATTTCTTGTAAATCAGTACATTGATTTTCATTGTGAGTGAAGCCTGTATTATTATAGACCGGGATACATTCACTTTATTGGATATTTGTTGTGTATTGTTTGTTTGTTTTTTCGATTTTATTTGTGTGTAATGCGGTCCACCTATGGAAGACCAAAATGCTCTTTATTCCGTATTCTTAATTCTTAGTTCTTAATTCACGGTCCTTAATTTTGATTATTTATTTGCTGTCGTATTTCGACATTTGTATACTAAAATTAATATTTCTAGCTTAAAATCAATATTTGTTTTACAAATCAGACATTTGTCATATCAGATTTGTAAATTGTATCTATAAGAATTAAAGACTATGAATTAAGAAAGAACACTGATTAAAGACCTGTTTACTAACTATAAAATTATTTTACATAGCTTACCCGTTGTGTCGCATGTAGTTTTACATAACTTACCCGTGTCGTCTATTTTATTATATGGTTGTTTTACATAACATACCCGTGTCACCTGTTATTTTTATTTGGTTGTTGTCACCTATTTTTATGATATAGTTGTTTTACATAACTTACCTGTGTTAAATACAATTTATTTTTAGCTTTAGACCACCCATCCTTTACTCCTCGCTTTAAACCAAGACGTGCCTGCAGGTAACACGTCTATGGACGATTAATCTATATATTCACTGTTTTAGGTACGAATAACCGCCACTGATGATAGTACTATGGCATTTGTTTCCACGGTAACAGTAGCTATACGTATTACTAATATCAATGACAATGCCCCGTACATCGTGGGTTTGCCCGCGACCATTGAAGTCAGCGAGAATGAACCATTTGGTGCCGCGTATAGTATTTGTAACGTCACTGATAAAGACTCCGCCCTGGAAAACCAGGGTACGATGGGAAAGTTCCGGTAGGCTAACAAATCATTCTGTAATGATATATTAAATGACCCGAAAATTGAACCTTATGGTACACAATTTATACCAACAAATCATTCTGTGACAATTACATGCATAACTTAAAGTTAATAATACCTGTTATACTAAATGATCCGAAAATTGAATCTTGTACCACGTTTGAAATATTATTAATCATAGTTATCTTTAAAGAACATGTCCTTTTAATTAGCAAAAGTAATAATAAAGCCCCCCCCCCCCCTCCCCACCAACCTCAGTGATTCGATTTTTAGAGTTATAGTAAAATAATTCCAGATGCTTCCAACAACTGGTTATTGGATGGTGTAACCTGTTCGATGTATGTTAATACCGAGCTAGACTATGAGACGACAGCTAGTTACGTTTTAACTTTGTTGGCGTATGATTTGGACCCAGCAACATCGTTGACCAGTACCGCAACTGTAACTATAAACATAAAAGATGAGAATGATAACGCTCCGGTAAGTGGTATTTGTGTATTGGAAAGCAATACAATAGATACTTGAAAACCGTGCATTGTCATGTGTTTCTTATGTAGTTCTACCGTCAATCTATGGATAGGTCAAAATTTGGGTCTATATCTATTACCCAATAGCTTCTGGAGCACTACAAAATACAGAAATGATCGAATTACACCAAATTGTTTTCGGTTTTCATGGCCAAGTAGCGCGCGAATCCTACCACTCACTGTATATCTTGGGCTGTATATCTTTACTAGAAAGGTAAAAATAAGTTATCTGAAACTCGAGTAAATTATTGAAACATATTTTGTTTCGAAAACGTATCGGTAATTCATGAAACTCAAATGCCCATATCTCAGTCAATTTTTAAGCTACAGATCACAAATTTTGCACAGTTTCTAGATTTTGCATGTACAATAACATACATGTTTTCCAGATTTTTACTAGGGGGGGGGGGGGGATTTCCCATATTTCTGAAAATTAACCCACTTGACATAGAATGACCCACAAACTTATATGTGGAGAATGAACGACCCCTTTAAGTGAATAAAATTGGTATTTGTGAATTTGAATAGGTAGCCCCCCCCCCCCCACACACACACACACATCCCAGGTTCCAACAATATAAACGTAAGCATGAGAATGATAACGCACTGGTAAATGATAACGAAAACGACCTTCTCCACCAATTATATTAAATACATTTTATGTAAAAATAAACAATGTTTCCACTCGTATTATATGTGTGAAAGAGTGACAACGCACGGGTAGATCAATATAATTGTTCTCTAATTTAAATTGGAATATAAATGTATTGCATAACTAGACTCACCTCATCCCCCTCTAGGCCAGTACTAAATGACGGGAATGGAAAGGCGCTGGAAAGTGAATAAAATTGGTGTTTGTGAATAGGAAACAAACTAGGAATTTATACTAATTTAGGAGGTAAATTGACCGTGTTGTATTAATATCTAAATTTCATTGAATTACCTGTAAGTGAAATGCCCAATATATTGTTATAATTGCACTCATTTAATTGGGTTTAACAATCCACTTGACACAAACTAGGTCATTTCGAAACTAACATATGGTACAATTGTATTTCAATAATTCGCTTGCGCGTAGGGGTCTTTAATTAGCAGTTTGAGGAAAGGAGAATATGTGGAGAGAACCCACGAGGTTAGACAGGCCACCCTACTCCTTGTCACGTACAAGCGGGAAATCGACACCAGGCCACTTGACTCAATGAGAGACGTTTTGATCTGAAGCGCACGCGTTACACTACTCCACCACCCATGCCACGATCTTTATTAAGACTTTTAAATATAACCAGACTGATGAAAAATTGACTTGGTGTTGCAATCACGTTCAGCTATTACAGTGTAAGTTTAGTATATTACTCTTGTGTCTATTACTCAGTGGAATCACGATGAACCCAACTTATTGTTATTACTTTTTATATATTTCTATAGGTATGTTCTAATAGCACTGCTGTTAACTTACCGGAGAGTTATAATATTGGTGCTGTCGTGGCCACGATTATGTGTATTGACTTTGATAGTGGGGTAAATGGACAAGTTTATTTCGTGTTGGACGGTGAGTTTTCTTCACTTTCATATTTGACATTTTAGTGACTGTGAATCATTCTGTGCACACACGGTAGCTTTCTATGTAAGTAGGTCTCAACTGGTCATTTTCAGGATTATGCCCCTTTCGGACTGACAAAATATGGCGCTGTGCCAAATACAAGGATCTTGGAAAATTCTAAGGCAAGTAAAACAGGTTTATTCTTCAGTGGTCATGGTATCCTTGACAAGACCGGGAACAACGATGTTTGGTAATCGACCGACTAGTCAGATAAATGAAATAAAATGGCGTTTAACATTCTACACAGTTGACAACAGATGGTCAACATTAGCACTGGCTTGACACGACCAACGGCCAAGCGGAAGTCGTCAGTGAAGTCAGCTGATCCTTGTTACGTAACGTCCTTTGTTTGGTTAAGCAATCTGTACCGAAAGCTTAACCTGGTATTATATAATAACCAGCGGCAACCTCCGCCCACAATATGGTCTGAAATATAACACATGTCCGTAGCTGATTGGGCATTAACCCATCCCAGAATAAATACTGACCAATCAGGTCACAGTGCATGGGTGTGGTATCTGGAATTCAAGACTGGACTATAAGACCAGATGTCTACGATATAAGTTTAACTCCATTTCTTGTTGGAACTTTCAGCCACCAACGATGCTGTGGTTAAATCAACATTTCAAGTTGATTCTACATCAGGACAGGTTACTCTAACAGCTGTATTAAACCATGATCAACAAGGAACATACCAAGTTAAAATTATAGCTTATGATGGCGGTAATCCAAGTCTGAGTGTTACAGTAACTATTCTGGTTGATGGTAGGTGTCCATTAAAACTGTGTAATAACCTTAACAAAGACAACAATCTGATTAAAACACAGATCCAAGTTCGTTTCGTGTTCTGCGGCTGTGTGAAGTTGAATAACGAATAACGAATAACGAGGTGACTAACCTCGTTATTGGCGAATAACAAGGTACAAGCTACCTCGTTATTCGTTATTCGTTATTCAACTTTATATTCGGGATTCCAATATGCAGCTAGCCATGACTAGAATGATAGATGCCAAGTATCCCCCAGTAGTATAAAACACAGAAAAACGACACCTAGACGAAAAACAGTCCACATTGTTATTCAAGCAGCGCGGGGATCACGTGGCTAAGTCATAGCACACTGTATGGCGTATGCCCGTCTTCATTAGCCCAGTTTGGAGCAAAACAGTAGGACGTTAAACCCATTTCATTTCATTTCTCTCTCTCTCTCCCTTTACCGACTATACGTCATTTAATAAGTTTCTACTGCTAGGGGATACTTTGCAATCCATTATTTTATTGTTGTCTAGTGATCGTTTAGAATTAAAGATACATGAACACATTCATATGTGAATCCCGAATAACGAGGTGAAAAACGAATAACAAACAGCTCGTTATTCGCTGCTTGAATAACAATGTGGACTGTTTGTCGTCTAGGGGTCGTTTTTATGTGTTTTATACTACTGGGGGATACTTGGCATCCATCATTCTAGTCATGGCTAGCTGCATATTGGAATCCCGCATATAAAGTTGAATAACGAATATCGAGGTAGCTTGTACCTCGTTATTCGCCAATAACGAGGCATGTCAACTCGTTGTTCGTTATTCATCGCTTGAATAACAATCTGGTTTATTTACCGACTATACGCCATTTAATACGTTTTCTACTGCTAGGGGATACTTTGCAAACCATTATTTTATTGTTGTCTAGTGATCGTTTAGAATTAAATCCTGAAATTTCCGCATTAAAGATACACGAACACCTTCATATGTGAATCTCGAATAACGAGGTGAAAAACGAATACCAAACAGCTCGTTATTGGCTGCTTGAATAACAATGTGGATTTTTTTCGTCTAGGGGTCATTTTACTGTGTTTTATACTACTGAGGGATACTTGGCATCCATCATTCTAGGCAGGGCTAGCTGCATATTGGAATCCCGGATATAAAGTTGAATAACGAATAACAAGGTCGCTTGTACCTCGTTATTCGCCAATAACGAGGTAAGTCGCCTCGTTATTCACCGCTTGAATAACAATCTGGTTTATTTACCGACTATACGTCATTTAATACGTTTTTTACTGCTAGGGGATACTTTTCAATCCATTATTATATTGTTATCTAGTGATCGTTTAGAATTAAATCCTGAAATATCCTCATTAATGATACATAAACACCTTCATATGTGAATCCCGAATAACGAGGTGAAAAATGAATAACACACAGCTCGTTATTCGCTGCTTGAATAACAATGCGAACTGTTTTTCGTCTAGAGGTCGTTTTGATGTGTTTTATACTACTAGGGGATACTTCGCATCCATCATTCTAGTCATGGCTCGCTGCATATTGGAATCCCGAATATAAAGTTGAATAACGAATAACGAATAATGAGGTAGTTTGTACCTCGTTATTCGCCAATAACGAGGTAAGTCACCTCGTTATTCGTTATTCACCAATAACCAATAATGAATAACGAAAAACGATTCAACTTCACACTGCCGTGTTCTGCTTGAAATGAGGGGTCAGCAAATCAAATGGTCTGTCGAATCGAGCGTTTGAACTTTTTTGCGCGGGACTGTGGGTAGACATTAGCGGCAATAGAAATCAAAACAAAGCAAAAGTAGATAAAAAAAAAATACATGACGGTCGCTAATTGGTTAATCGAATGACTAACGTAATCGGGTCAAATGTCGCTTGCTTGGTACCTGACGTCATAGAACGTGAACTCCCACTATAACTTGTTAGATCCACATGTAGTGTAGACCATCGAAAGTATAAAAAACGAAACGAAATATAGATCTATATTTTAATTAGATTGCAAATACAAGTTTCTATTTATACCTCTTTTTCACAATTAAATTAAAGACGCTATTGATAAAAAAATATCCGAGTAATCACGAAGTATTCTACACTAACTTGCATTAGTAATTGTTCTAGCCAATGGCTTGGTTTAACATTCCCTGGAGAATATGTGATATAATAATATCTGATTTTTACTGGGATTATATGAAATTTGGGAATTCAAAATGGGAATATTGCCAATAAGCTTCGCAAAATGTGGACATGATACCAAAGACCGTCATTATCCATTCATCTTTCTAATATTTGACTTACTTGATTTTCTTAAATATTTTCATTTTAAATTATATGACAATTTATTGTAATTTTATGCTTGTCATAAAGGACAGTTAAGTTTCATACCTAATCCTTTTTACAATAAAATTATTCAAAGTATTCAATCTGTTTACCTAAAATGATGACTTAGAAAAGATATATGTAAAACATCTTTTTGTGTGCTGTGTTGACGTGAGTCAAGCTAATTAAAACAGATCTCTATTTCGTTTCGTTTTTTTTATACTTTCGATGTCACCCACTTCATGACCGGTTGTAATGGAAGGTCGTGTCAGGGTCATACACGCGGCTTTTGACCCTATGACGTCAGATATCTGATTAACCAATCAGCGTTGATGTTTCTAGTGGGATACCTACAGTTCGGCGCCCAAATACTCGCCGTAATAGACCGTTTCATTGACTAATCCCTCACATCAAACAGAACGCGGGTTATATAACAACTCTTCCAGGTCCTAGTGTAGTAAAGACAAGTAAAGCAAAATTTTGAACTATAAAAAATGAAACGAAATAAGATCTGTGTTTTAATTAGATTGGACGTTCAATTAAAGGGACAATAACACTCTTGCTGGCTTCACAGCTCCAGAAATAAAAAAAAATAGCCTTATTCTAAGTACTAGATGTGTCAGTGTCTTACCTGTTGTGTAAATTATCCATTAAATCCTATTTTACTTGTGCAGAGGGTTCGAAAATATTTTTAAATCCAAGTCACATTTGAAAAGCCTTACGTCATTTAGTTTAATTTTTCCAATTTTTTTTAAATTAGATGTGTTAAGATGAAATTTATATCACCAATTAATTGGAATATTGTAAAATAGTACAATTTGTTGACCAGAATAAAGATTGGGACATATTATTCAGTTACAACAAGAGTGGTATTGAGCCTTTAATCATAATGTCTTAAGTATTAAGCATCTATCGATTCAACTATGATTAACCCGAATACCTAGTTTTGGACCCAAGGGTTTAAAGGTAAGTATATGTGAAATAACCCCAGTCCTGGACCCAAGGGTTTAAAGGTAAGTATATGTGAATAACCCGAGTGCCCAGTTCTGGACCCAAGGTTTGAAAGGTAATTATATGTGAATGCGAGTAATATGTGATGCTGTCTATAGAGTTGGTATGGTAAGGTTTTATAAGTTAGTGTGTTATACGTGAATATAACAATGTAATGATAATGCTACTAATGATGGAGTATAAATTAATGTGTTGTTTGTGAGTATAATACTGTAATGATAATGTGTGAGGAGTTGTGTTATATGTTAGAAGGCTAATTGTGACTAAATACTGTAATGATAATGTGTGAGGAGGTGTGTTATATGTTAGAATGCTGCTTGTGGGTATAATACTGTTTATGATTAAATACTGTAATGATAATGTAATGATAATGATGTTGGGTAAGGAGTTTGTTGGATGATGTTGTATAGGGCAGTGTGTTGTATGTGATGATGTATAATGTGATGTCGACTATGGTATGATATAGTGTTATTGTGTAGTGCAGAGTGCTATTGCAATCTGGTATGTTGACCAGTTGTCGCGTAATTGTGTGTTGATTGCTTGATTGATTCATTAATTGATTGGTACCAAAGGTATTACTTGTATATATGATTATAACGGTAATTCGAATGGTACTGATAATGGTAATGATAATAGCAAGGACAGTACTAAAGGTAATGAACTGGTGATGGTACTGCTAATGGTACTGGTACTGATAACGGTAATGGTAATAGCAACGATAATGGCAGTACTAAAGGTACTGCTAATGGTACTGGTACTGATAATGAAAATGATACCGATAATGGTACTGCTAATAGATAATGAAACTGGTGCTGGTACTGCTAATAGTAATAGTACTGGTAAAGGTACTGATAATGGTACTGATAATAATAACGGTATTGGAAAGGATAATGGCACTACTAATGGTACTGATACTGGTACTGATAATGATTATGGAACTGATAATGTTACTACAAATGGTACTGGTACTGCTAATAGTACTGCTATTGGTACTGGAAAGGATAATGTTACTACAAATGGTACTGGTAATGGTAATGAAACGGATAATGTTACTACAAATGGTACTGGTACCTAATGGTACTAATACTGGTACTGGTACTGGAAAGGATAATGTTACTACAAATGGTACTGGTAATGTTACTGATACTGGTACTGATAATGGTACTGGAAAGGATAGTGTTACTACAAATGGTTCTGGTACTGCCAATGGTATTGATAATGATACTGCTACAGGGTAGTGGTAGGGATACTGGTAGTGCTGTTAGCACTGACAATGGTACTCATAATGGTACTGCGCCCATTATGGTGGTAATGGAACTGTTAATTATGACGGTAATAGTACTGGTAAATGCTTATCGTGCTGGGGGCCACGTTGGCTCAGTGAGTAAGACGTGCGCTCGCTAACCTGTTCGATCCCTGCATTCATCGGGATTCCCGGCATGGTTCCACCTTGTCAGTGATGCAGAACGAGAGAGAGAGAGAGAAATGGGGTTTAACGTCCACTCGACACAAACTAGGTCATTTCGGGACTAACATTGGAAAACCACGAGGTTGGACAGGCGACCCTACTCCTTGTCACGTACAACCGGGGATTCAAAACCAGGTGCAGAACGAAGGGCCTGACAAGGGACAACGTATAGTCGTACAGGTGGGGCAAAAACAGAGGCCCCGTGCACACCTTGACGTGTACGTAAAAGATACGTTGGCAGTTGGAATTCGATATAAAAGTAGACCATCGTGCCGCTGCCCGGGCAAAATTTCCCTCATATCATATCATATCATATGGCGTATACCCGTCTTCATTAGCCCAGTCGGAGCAGAACTATTAACATTACCAACATCAGTGCCATTATCATTACCAATAGAATTACCAGTATTTTTAGCGAAAGGAAAGGAATTGGGTTTAACGCCCCACTATTCTGCTCCGACTCGGCTAATAAAGACGGGCATTTCATTTTTAGAGGGGTTCATGGTGGCTAAGTGGGTAAGACGCTGGCTCGTCAGCATGGAGGTGGGGTGTTCGATCCCTGCATTTGCCGCAAAAGTTCATCCAGATTTTCCGGCGTGGTTGCCCCTTGCCAGTGATGCAGGATGGAGGGCTTGACAAGGACAGCTGTCTAGACGTTCGGATGAGACGGTAATCCGAGGTCCCGTGTACACATTAGCGTGCACGTAAAACTTCCCTTGACAGTTGGAATTCGATATAAGAGTAGGCCACAGTGCCGCTGTCCGGGCACAATTTCCCTCATAGCGCACTATATGGTGTATGCCCGACTTCATTAGCCAAGTTCGAAGCAGAACAGTAGAACGTTAAACCCCATTCATTTCTAGAGTGTCTGGGTAACATTTCAAACAGACATATTTTTATAGCAAGAACAACCAGCCCATTATCTGAATGTTTATGCATTAAAAGTAATGAATATTGTTATACCTTACACGGTTATTGGCTATTTAAATTAGACAAATAATAAAGAAGTTTGGGGCTAAAATATGGCTGATTAAAATTGTTGCCGTTACTGACATGTGTATAATCATCATGAATGTAAAGGAAATGAAATGAAATGAAATGGGGTTTAACGTCCTACTGTTCTGCTCCGACTGGGCTAATGAAGACGGGTGAAAGTAAACGCAATCTTATCTAACCATATACACCGCATCCGTCACCCGTTCGTAGATGAGTATACAGTCGTACAGTTTGTTAACTACACAAACACCCGTGTTAATAAATGTGAACTCACCAAACGATCAGTGATATCGGATGTTCCAGTAACTCAGCATACCTTACCCCGTGTACTACAGTCATCACTAATTATAGTTATGCTAAGTACAGCTAACGTTTGGATCTTGACTGCAGAAACCGAAGCTTGTCAGGTTTGCCCTACTCAACAAAATAACATTTACTCCAAAACCTTATCACAAAGGGCTGGGATTGATGATCGAATGGTTTAACGATTGTCCACTGGGTATAAGGTCTTTCAGTGAGTCAAGTGGCGTGGTTTCGATTTCCCGTTTGTACGTGACAAGGTGTAGAGCCGTCTGTCCAATCTTATTGGTTTTCTCCGGGTCCTCGGCTTTCCTTTCACTGCTAAAGATCCCTACGCGCAAGCGAGTTAATGAAATAAAACTTAAACAGGTGTTAGTCTCAAAATGAAACAATTGTGTCGAGTGGACGCTAAACCCCATTTCACAAAGCATTAGAGAGCTGCACAGTACTCCTGTTAAAAAGTCTTTCTCACAGAATCAACCAGTTTTGATAAATTTGGTATCGGTGAAATTCACATAAACTAAAATTATTAAATTAATTTTAAATTCTACTCTGATTTACAGTTAGTTAGATTACATAATAATTATCATATTACTTGAAAATAAAAGTTAATCATGCAAATATCAAATCATGCTAATTTACAATAAAAGTGTTTTAACGTTAAACGGACCGAGGTTTTATAGTTATTGGTGTTTTATATATTGGAATCTAGATAATAAAGCATAAAAATTAATAGGTTAGAATTGTAATATTAATGATATATTGAATACATTAACAGCTATTTTATTGAAAATATATTAAATTTGTCGAAATTATTAAAAAATATTAAACAGTTTTATTGTGTTTTCAACAAAGATTCAGATTTGATGATGCAATGAAACTTGCCTATATAAACTGTTTGTGAATTTGAATAATTCAGAATCCTGAGAGCAGTTTGAATAGAAAACAAGTCTATCAACAAATTGATCAATATGGAAAGTGTAAGTATCATTAGTTGTAATTCATTATTTTGATGGGTTTGATTGTTGACTGCTTTAGATTATTGTAGGTGTTGATGGTGTTACATTGCTGTGATTGTTGACTGCTTTAGATTATTGTAGGTGTGATTGTTTTAGATTGTTGTAGATGTTGTTTTTGATTGAGTTAGATTGTTGTTGTTGTTTTATTGAAAGCTGCGTTATGTAAGAGCTAAATCTGTCTAATGCAGTTCTTTTGTTTGTCCTCAAATCTTACATAAATCAGTAATTAAACACTTTATCACTCTCTAGGACATCGGATAGTTTTGATATTTTACGTTTTTATACACGATTGCCAGTTAATAATGTAGTTAAAAATAAATAATCGCAACTTTGTTTATTATCGTAACAGCGGTTGTAATGACAATCTAAAATGTTCTTCAGACGGTCATAACTCCCCTCCGAATGAAGTAATGTGACCGACATTTTCAACAAATTCCCTTTTCATTATCTATATAATAATTATTAAAGGGATCAGTGCCAGCTCTTGGGGGGGGGGGGGCGAATGGTTAGCACGTGCGCGCTGCGCGCTGTATCATAAGGCCTGTCATTGAATCAGCTGGCAAGGAGTAGGGTGGCCTGTCCAACCTCGTGGGTTTTCTCCGGGTCCTCCGGTTTCCTCCCACTGCTAAAGACCCCTAAGCGCAAGCGAATTATTGAAATAAAATTGAATCATGTGTTAGTCCCGAAATGACCTAGTTTGTGTCGAGTGGGCGTTAAAACCCATCTCTCTCTCTCTCTCTCTCTATCTCTCTCTCTCTCTCTCTCTCTCTCTGCCAGATCTTTATCTAAATCTTACATAATGAATCTTTGCAACTTTTCTCGATGACATATATATATGTAATAAGTTTTAGCAATCGTATTCAGCTAATTGATATTCGCGAAGATCATGTTTACTCAAATCAGATTATTTTTCACAAGATACCGTTTATACGACATTTGTAGTAATCTTACTTCTGTATCATCTCATGTGAAATATAAAACTATTACACAACTTGATATATTACCTTTAGATTGACTGGTTGATGATACGTGCGCGCAGTATCATAAGGACAGTCATTGAGTCAACTGGCGTGGTATCGATTCCCCGGTTGTACGTGACAAGGAGTAGGGTCGCCTGTCCAACCTCGTGGGTTTTCTCCGGGTCCTCCGGTTTTCTCCTACTGCTAAAGACCGCTACGCGCAAGCGAATTATTGAAATAAAATTAAAACCATGTTATTCCCGAAATGACCTAGTTTGTGTTGAGTTGAGTGGACGTTGTTAGCACATGTGTGCTTTGTATTTGTAGATAAAGATATTGTTGTTAGATAACACGTGTGGATTTTGTATCTGTAGGTAAAGATATTGTTGTTAGATAACACGTATGTGTTTTGTATTTGTAGGTACAGATATTATTGTTGTTAGATAACACGTGTGTATTTTGTATTTGTAGGTAAAGATATTGTTTGTGCTGTGTTTAATATTAGAATGCTGCAACTGCTGGGTTAATAAGTTTGACAAGCCAGTATGGTATGAATGTCCAGTCGGGGAACAGCTTTTTTCAATATCCAGTGAACATGTTAATGGTTACGAGGACAGACAATGGGACTTCACGTGCGCCTATTTGGCCCCATTGGGCTTATGTTCTTGGCATAGTAAGTCCTCTTCTTCAATTCCACAGCTTTCTGTTTTAGATAAATCAAGGGGAGCCATGGTGGCTAAGTGGTAAAGGCGCTGGCTCGCTAGCTTGGAGGTCGTGTGATCGATCCCTACAGTGGCTGAGAAAGTTCTTCGGGATTTTCCGACGTGGTTTCCCCTTGTCAGTGGTGCCTGACAAGTTATATAATATTGTTATTTCAGATAATATTAATGAGTATGACGGAGTAATGGATTTTAAATGTCCAGACGCGGGTGCAATAACCGGTATCAAAAGTGCCCATGACAACCAGAAAGAGGATAGGATTTACCACATCGAATGCTGTGCAATGTCCGAAAGTACGTATTTCCATCATAGTCTGGAGGCTCAGCGCGGGGGTGGGGGTGGGGGTGGTGTGTCCACCAAATGGGCACAAAACCAGACCCAACTATTCTAGAGTAAAATTTTGCGTAGAATACGATGCCGAGTGGTAATCAGTCCGCCGTTGGGGCGTTTTCGAGATATTCGGGGTCAAAGGTCAAATGGGTTCATTTGCACTGCAAGTGAATGCGCAGTCTTTCTTGTATCATGAATATAAGCTGAAAATGATCGAAAGTAATCACACTTTCAATAAAAATGTAAACTTGCTAAATTCACCTTTGTTTTTTGTGACCACAGAGGTCAAAAGGTCACATTTTCCGTTTTAGCACTAGAAAGATTTAAAGTAATAAATGTCAGCGTAAAATATAAAAACTAAAGCGAAACCTGTTCTAATTAATAATAGGATCATTTAAAATTTATCTTAAGGTGGTCTTAGCACCAAACTTTTACTTTGGAACGTCGAAAATGATCTTGCATCACAAAACTAAAACGCTTCGGAACCTGTTTCAAAAATACGTAAAAACTGTTAAATCAAAATCTCTCCGAATTAGTTTTACAACGAATGCTATACATAATGATACTAGTTGTCTGAAAAAAACAATTGAATAGTTTCATGGCTGGACTCCAGCCTGCAGGCCGCGTCACAAAGCCTGCCAAAATTTCCCCGCTAACATTTACCAATACGACATATACATCCTGTGAACTACTATGTACAATGCATCCGTCGGTTTTATCTGCTTCCATGTTCGGGCGAAATTAAAAAAAACTCATAAAAAATTTGCAAAATTTTAATCTCGTCGTCAGATACGTGTTTTCCCGTCACAGATTAACGTCGGTTTTCCTAGACTGGGATTCTCGGAAATCCACGCGACCTGCAGGCTGGAGTCCAACACTGAAACTATTCAATTGTTTTTCAAATAACTAGTATCTTTATGTATAATAATCGCTGTGAAAATAAATTGGAGAGATTTCTATTTGACAGTTTTTACGTATTTTTGAAACAGGTTTCAAAGTGTGTTGGTTCTGTTATGCAAGATCATTTTCGACGTTCCAAAGTAAAAGTTTGGTGCTAAGACCCCCTAAAGATAAATTTTAAATGTTCGTATTTTTAATTAGAACAGGTTTTAATTAGAATTTAGTTTTTATATTTTACGTTGACATTTTATTGCTTTAAATCTTCCTGGTTCAAAAACGGTAAATTTCACCTTTTGACCTCCAGGGTCACTAAGACTAAAGGTGAATTTAGCAAGTTTACATTTTTATTGAAAGTGTGATTACTTTCGATCATTTTCAGCTTCTTTTCATAATAAAAGAATGACTGCGCATTCACTTTCAGTGCAAATGAAGTCATTTGACCTTTGACCCCGAATATCTCGAAAACCCCCAACGGCGGACTGATTACCACTCGGCATCGTATTCTACACAAAATTTTACTCTAGAAAAATTGGGTCTAGTCTTGTGCCCATTTGGTGGACACCCCCCCCCCCCCCCCCGCGCTGAGCCTCCGGTCTGTCAGTAGATAATATTCAAAGGATTATCTAACTCAGTACAACGAAAATACTGAACACCCTGCACCAACAATTGGTTATATGCTTTACATAGTTCTTTTTTTGTAAAACAGTCGTCACAACGTTGGTTTGGGTGTCTGATTGCTTTAACGCATTAGATCAAGCGGTCTACCATTGAGTCACGTTTGTACTTGACAATTAGTAAGGTCGTCTGTCCTGTCTAGTCGAGTTCCTCTGTGTCCTCCAGTTTCCACCCACTAACCTAGTTTGTATCGAATGGATGTTAAACCACATACACCCCATGACGGATCAGTGACAGCTAACAGTTTTGTATTCATCTAGATATTATTAGCAACTGTATCACTAGGCTAGTATCTCACTGATATTGCGTTATAACTAAGACAGGTTGTGATTATATCGCAATAACAACAAAAAACTAGAACTGCGATGCAGTAATGACGGGTTTCACCGGTGCCACGTTACCCTTGAACTTATTTCACTTCAGTGCCACGTTACCCTTGAACTTAGGTCACTTCCGGTACCAATGAAACCGATAAAACACATTTCTACACAAGCATTGCACACGTGTTATAAATTGAACACAGAATCAACCAAATCCAGCAATATCATTTCCATTTATACATTTTGTATCATGTGTTACATATGTCAAAAAAGTGATCCTGAAAAAAAAATTGTTACCAAATTGCCGCTAAGTTATCAATTGAACACAGAATCAACCAAATCCAGCAATATCATTTCAATTTATACATTTTGTATCATGTGTTACATATGTCCAAAAAGTGATCCTGAAAAAAAATTATTACTAAATTGCCGCTAAGTTAGCTGACCTTCCAATGGGAAATTCAAATGCGAAAAAATCTTAAAAAGTGATCTTGACAAAATTTGTTATTTGTTATTGCTAGAAGCAATTTATGGACATTTAAATGTTCGTATTGATCCAATCTATATGTCCGTTGGAATCAAATAAATAATATTAAATGAATAAAAAATATAACTCATTTAAAAAAAAAAGTTTGTTTTGAAGGCTAAAAATACAGTTTTTGCCAACATGACATTACTTCCGGGGATAATGATAAATTAGTTCTATGAAATCATAAATGGCATAAGGCATCACATGGTGAAAATTTTATGAAAATCGAATAATAATTGACACTTTTATAGACCAAAACCCTTGAAAAGTGACTTGTAGAAAATTGTCTATTTCTCTGCAACCGTACAAGTTAGAAACCAGTTTGTGGTATCTGCATTATCGCATGGAGTCATTCTATTTGTTGATTGGAATCAAATATCATAATTTAAAAACATTACAAATCAGACTCATTTGAATAAAATATCTGTTTTGAAGGCGAAAATACAGTTTTTGCCCAAATAACGTCATTTCTGCTGACAGTGAAGATGATAAATTGGTTTTACCTAATCAAAATTGGCATTAGGCATCAAATGATAAAAACAAATTGAAAATCGAATAATAATTGACTCTTTTACAGGCAAAATATCGAGAAAAGTGACGAATGCAATATTGCCTATTTCTGGGCAACTGCTCATATTACAAACTAATTTTCACACACATTCTCTTCGTATGGATTAATGCTACAGTTTTATGAGTGTTGTTAAGAAATATTTTAAAATATAAAAAGCCTGAATACAATGTAAATAGCTCATTTTTATCCTTTTTTTCACCTGTAAATCAAAATGGCACAAATACAAAACCGAAATTTAAATAAATAAGTCTGACATATGTTGCATCTTTAGTAGGAGCATTAATATTGATCCTGACAAAATTCGTTATTTCTCGGTAAGGGAAGGTATTAGAAACACTTTTTTGATGTCTATATGATCGCATTGATTACTACTATTTGTCCTTGAAAAGTGACCTGTTGAAAATCGCCTATTTCTCCGCAACTGAACAAGTTAGAAACCATTGTTTGATATCTATATGATCGTATAGGTTCATTGTATTTGTTGATTGGAATCAAATATCAACATTTTGAACAAATAACAAATACGACTCATTTGAATAGCAATTTTGTATCACTAACTAGTCCAATGCGATATCAGCTTTAGAGAGCCGTATTCCAGAGCTCTGGTTAATATTCATTATCAAAGATACATTATGTAAGATTTAGATAAAGAGCTAGCTATTCTTGTCATGATAGTTCAAAAATAGATAATTCAAAATGAATATATTGAATACTTCATTCAAATTATTTTATTCAACCATTGGACGAATAAAGTCAGCCATTCGCCATTCAGTGGGTCGTCAGGATAATTTTACGAAAAACAATCCTTGATGTGTTCGACAATTGTTGAATAAACCACATAATGATGCCATATTGTACTGGTACTTTAACCAGTTATACTATTTGTATTTCAGCTCCTAATGTATGCAAATTGACAGATTATGAAAACGAATTTGATGGCCTCCTTGCATATAGAATTCCAGCTATTAAATACATAAATGGGATATACAGTGTGCACCAAAATCAACAAGAGTAAGTACTACTACCACTGGTAAGCTGATACCATTGATTAAATCATATAAATGTTCAGTATTCTAAACTAATGTTTAGTATGTATAGAAAGTGGTTAGAAATTATACAATTGTCATTAATTAGCAGGTGTTAACAAGATGTAAAATATGTCACTACTGATGTAAAAGCGTGACTATTTATAACACCCATCACTATTGAATACACAAACCTGGACAATACTGGTGTTTATCATTCAATAGTCACCGTTTTTACATCTTAGTGACAAAATACTTAACGACTACTGCCTGATTACTAACAATTTTAACTAAATAATATTAGTGTATATTAGTGTATATTATCTCATAATATTAATGTCTCAAAATATCGATACTCGGACTTTGTTTATATATCCTGGCCGAGAAAGTTCATCCAGATTTTCCGACGTGGTTTCCCCTTGTCAGTGGTGCAGAACGGAGGGCCTGGCGAGGACAGCTGTCTAGTCCTTCGGATGCGACGAAAAACCGAGGTCCCGTGTATATATTGGAATGCACGTAAAAGATCCCCTGGCAGTTGGAATTCGATAAAGGGGTAGGCGATAGTGCCGCTGCCCAGGCAAAATTTCCCTCATAGCACACTGTATGGCGTTTGCCCGTCTTCATTAGCCCAGTATAGGAGCAGAACAGTAGGACGTTAAACCCCATTTCATTTCATTTCATTTGTTTATATATCTTATATGTATATATATATATATATATATATATATATATATATATATATATATATATATATATATATATATGTTACTGCTACTATGTTTGTACCGTACTGATACTATGATCATACCTTATATATGGTACTGATACTATGTTCATACCTTATATATGGTACTGATACTATGTTCATACCTTATATATGGTACTGATACTATGTTTATATCTTATATTATATGGTATTGGGATTATGTACTGGGAATACTAGGTGGACCATGCCCTTTAATACCAAGTGGACCACCTTCTTTAAATACCATTGATAATGATCGTGTTCGTGTTTTCTGTTTGTTTTCAGAGATCGACGTTTTAAGTTCTACGAATGCGATCTCCCGAAATGTTGATTTACACGTGCAGCCCCTCTTTAAGAGATTGATAAATAAAGATGCATTTTAGATTTGTTGTTGTTTAATTTGTTATCGTGTTTCAGTACAGAGGTAGTAGGGGAATAGTATAATGTGATATAACGTTAGTATGTGAATCGTATGTTGTGATACACAGGTCGTATGTGATATAAAGGTAGTATTGGAATATAAAGGTAGTATGGGAATCGAATAAAGTGATACATGGTGTTCAGGAAAGATCCAGCATACACAGCCCTCTGGATGACTCCTATTAATGTACATATAAAGAATGACAGCATACATGATCAAGAAACTTTAAAATGATAGTATTGAGCAGATACTTTAAAGAGTATTAAGTATTGTCTCAATTATCTGTTAGCTTTGTGAAGTCTTATAATAGAAATAAGTTGATACATGGTGTTCTGTGGACTAGAGTCATGTATAAAGAGGGCATAGACAACGATTGTCTTCATTGGTATATATTTGTCTTGTTCTAATGCTGATCTTTTGAACTTAAATATTGGGTAACAAAATGGCGACCAGGCTAGCAGTTGGACAGACTCTATCTATATATGGATCTGGTATAGACTTCAATTTAAGATAGCAAAGCCACTCGGTAGACAGCAAACTTGGGACTTAGTGCGAACAATGTCTAAATATGGTCTATATCGTCCGGGTGATTCGCAATTCCTTCTACGACATGGATTTGAAAACGCGAGTTCATTTTGTGAAGAAGATCGCACTGTATAACTTGTCGGGGATTCGTATAGGCATTCGTTAGCTCCATAAAAATGTCGAACTATATGTAAAACAGGATATTATGAATAAAAAAAAACCAAGTACTAACAATCCAAACCATTAGACAAAAATTCGAAGTCCTAAACAAACGGTATAGGCAAAATAGTGTAATCAGCAAATGGACTGTTCACCGTGTACAAAATACACGACAAACAACTATATCAAATATCCATAAAATTAATACATTTCCCGTCGATTATGGTAATAGTTTGACTCTCAAAATCAGCAAATAAGAGAAATTAACCCGTGATAAACCAAGCCTTCTTGTCGACAAAAACATTTGAAGCATAAAACCCATACATGAACATTGCAAGCACTCGGCAACAAACGTACACCATTCGGCCACAGAACATAACATAAGTACCATTAGCAGTACTATCACCAGTTTATTACCTTTAGTACTGTCCTTCCTATTATCATGCAGAACGAAGGGCCTGACAAGGGACAACATATAGTCATACAGGTGGGACGAAAAACAGAGGCCCCGTGTACACCTTGACGTGTACGTAAAAGATACGTTGGCAGTTGGAATTCGATATAAAAGTAGACCATAGTGCCGCTGCCCGGGCAAAATTTCCCTCATATCACACTGTATGGCGTATACCCGTCTTCATTAGCCCAGTCGGAGCAGAACCATTAACATTACCAACATCAGTGCCATTATCATTACCAATAGAATTACCAGTATTTTTAGCGAAAGGAAAGGAATTGGGTTTCACGCCCCACTATTCTGCTACGACTCGGCTAATAAAGATGGGCATTTCATTTTTAGAGGGATCACGGTGGCTAAGTGGGTAAGACGCTGGCTCGCTAGCCTGGTGTTACATAATCAGATTATCTGATGTTAAAGACGCTTCCTGCCAACTTGACACCTGTTCGTTATCGACATGCCTGAAGTTCTTGGTCTATGTGATTATGTAATGATAATGTAAATGTTAACTTGCTGGCATGTTTTATTTAAACTTTCTTTGTCTGATTAGCATGTATCGAATGTTAAACTTGATATGATACATTAGCCAGATGCCTAATAAGATCCTTTGTTTGGAAGGGTTTATAAACCCAGATTAAGAAACAAATAGAAAGACAGGTCCGGCCAGGAGAGGCCACGCAGGTCTGGAGCTAAGACCGGCCAACGGCCACGTAATGTAATTTAGTTGGGAGTTGGCAGTAGTTAGGGCCTGGGTATAGGGACGATGGCGCGCATGCGCAGAAGCCCTAGCAACGGTGTTGCGCATGCGCAGGTCACTTCCTGTGTCCCTAGCAACGGCCACTTCCGGTGATGACGTCATAAGATGACGTCACTTCCGGTGATGTCGTCATAAGATGACACCACTACTTCCGGTGATGACGTCACTTCCGGTGATGACGTCACTTCCGAGAGTGTGTCACTTCCGTTTCCGGCGATAACATCACTTTCAGTGATGACGTCATCCATAGCAACGGTCACTTCCGGTGATGACGTCATACGTTAGTGACGTCATACGTGACATGACGTCATAGGGATTTCCCTCGGGGATTTCCTTTTTCTCGGGATTTCTTTCGTCCTTTCTGTGCTTGGGTCTTGGGCCCCATTTTTGGGGGATTCCCTCGCCCTTATCTTGGGGACCACCCTCCGTTTGTTCTCTCGTTCTTTCTTGGGATTGCTCTCGGGGATTCCCCCTCCCTTTGCTCGTTTTCTCTCGTCTTTTCGGGGGTGCCCTATCTTGGATTTCACTGTTGAGTTTGCCCGTCGGTATATTCATATATTTAGGGGAAATCCCCAATTAGTGCAGTAATTAATCTATGATATAATCTAGGATATAATCTATAATAGAATTCAGGGATGGGAGAAGGGAACAGTGGTAAATCTATTAAATCTATACTACGGACATTGATTATTCTATACTAATGGTGTTCCTTTCTAAGGGGAGATATAGATGTAGTCTACATTGATGTAGGAGACAAGTTCTTATAAAGGTTGTTATAAAGTTGTTTTGTTTTTTTATGAAAGGTTCTTATAAACGTTCTTATGAAAGGTTCTTATGAAAGGTTCTTGTAAAGGTTCTTATAAAGATATAAACAAAATAGAATATGAACATTCTTTCTGAATGATTTGGTGGCCCTGAAAAGGGCCGTTTGGGTGTCCTTGAAAAAGGCCGTTGGTGGTTAGACTGTCTGACCGAGGCGTTGGCGGACATGCCTCATGGCGTCGTCGTCGTCGTCGTCGTAAATTTTCCGTTTACGGGGTGTTGATGGTGGCGTGGCCGAGCCGGGCTGGTACCACCTCTTCAATGTTTCGATGTCCGTAAAGGGCTCGAAATTATCGGTTGGTGGTGGAGTGGCTGGTCTAACTGGTGTAGAGGAAACGTTCGGCCTGAACGTCTCCTCGTACAACCAACTATACATGTCGTCCGCCATTTCGGCCAGGAATGGGTCGGACACCAACCACTCCTCGTCCCCAAACATCCATTCTTCTTCGCTGTCCTCGTCGTCTCCCTCGTACTGGGTCTCCGTCGTGTGGACTGCTACCGTCTCTTCTTGCCAATCTCCCAATATCATGTCTTCAAACACCTCGAAAGACCCCATGGTGGAATGACAGAAAAGTGCGAACGGTCGGCCTTTTATGCAAAATAACGGGATCGAAATTTCCGAGCCCCCCTCAGCGCGGACTTCATAGAGAGCAACGAGCCCTCCTTCTCAAAAACAGACCCAAGAAAAAAAAATAGGATTGGAAAATAGGATTGAAATCTCCGAACGACGTCAAACGCGGACGTCAAAGTAAGCACGTTTAGCTATAGATGTTTTTTTTGTTTGTTTGTTTAAAATTAAAATAGAATATTAAAACTCTTTCTGAATAAGTTGGGTGGCCCTGAAAAAGGCCGTTGGTTGGTTAATCGCCTACCCAAGGCGGATACGCCTAATAAATTCTGCGTCGTCTTCGTCCTGGTACCTGGTATGGGATGGCGTGCTGGTTTGGTGCCAAGTCTTCAGCGTCCAAGTACCAGTAAACGGGTCGTATAAGGGTGTTGATGGTCTCAGTGGAGTGGCCGGTGTATATCCCCAGAATGGATCTTCAGAGAGGACCAGTGGCTCGAAGGGTTGTGCTGGTGTCTGGCCACTGGCCACTAACCACTCGTCGTCGTCGCTATCATCCACGACTATAACATCCGTTGGCTCAAGGGCGATCTCTGTTTCTGGTACAGTTTGTGTTGCACACTCTGGAATGACCAACACCTCTTCCATCACCTCAAACCAGTCTTCTCCGTCCAACATAATATAAGAACCCATGATGGAATGACAGAAAAGCGCGATCGGTCGGCCTTTTATGCAAAATTATAGGATCGAGAAATGGAGTTGGCCCCCCACAGCGCGGACTTCATAGAGAGCAATGATCCCTCCTTAAAAACAGATTTTAAAATAATTTAAAATGTATTTGAAATGTATACTATATTAGGCGAGAAAATTTAATATATGATCTTAAAATATGGATACGAATGGATGAAATCAGATCTCATTGTGATTTTATTTTAGAAGTAGGAAGACCCCCAATATAGAACTTTTACTATTTAAAATCAAAATAGAACTATTATTAGAATATGAAAACTCTTTCTGAATGAGTTGGTGGTCCTGAAAAGGACCGTTTGGGTGGCCCTGAAAAGGGCCGTTGGATGGCCAATGGCCGGTTTGCCTTACAGCCGAGGGTATAGACTGTAAGGCGGTGGGGGTGACGGTAGGGGAAGTACCCCATCGGCTTGCAGCCGATAGAGGTCCAACAGTTCCTCTCTGTGAGCATCTAGCTCTAAGGCCTCCAGCCGATGAAGCTCACGGCGGGTCTGCCGCAACAATTTTTGGAGGTACCCTCGCTCCTCCAAAAACCGTTGCCGCTCGGCCTGCCATGCCGCTTTCTCGGCCTCCCATGCCGACCTCTCGGCACACTGCCCAGAGAGAAGTTGCTGGAACTCCCCCTGCCACTGGCTTGTCAGACGTTTCTCTCTCTTCAGAGAATTACCCATGATTGAAGTGTTGGGTTTCTCACGCCTATTTGTCCTTTTATCGCGGACCTGTGAGAGAGCCTTGACTTTTTGGACAAAAAACATTTTGTAGTTTTTAGAATTTTACAAGGCAAAAAAAAAAAAAGAAATCGCGCGGACTTCACTGTAAGCCTCACTTTAAGCTATAAAAGCTATAAAAGCTATAAAAGTAGGCCTATACTTAAAATGACGTCATGTTCTATATTGACGTCATCAACCGTGTCTATATAAAGGAGCAAGCGC